CTTGATTTTAAGTGAAATATTAAAAATATTAAATAAAACGTTAATATCAAAACAAGAATATATATTATAAACATTTTGATTTGAAATTTTTTCAAAAAACTTCAGGGGTGCATATTTTAGTAACCAGCAGGGATATGATTTTATGCATCTGCATAATATTGCATGATATTACATAATAATAATCAATATAAATTAATCATGTGTATTTTTCCGCGCAACCGACGTGTTTAGAAATTAAATTGAAGATCTCATTATAAATTGATCAAAATCTCCAGTTAATTACACTATAGTGCGGCAAATATATTTGACTATAAAATCCAAGAAATGAACTAACTGGTTATAGAATGGGGTTTTTATTGTGGATTTGAATATAACATCTAAAGAATCTTGATCTAAATCAATATTGATCAAAATAGTAAAAGAAAATTCAATCTCTAAAATTAAATTGATTAGATTTTCAAATTATATATATTTTACTTAAAACAATATTGTTATTAGGATTCATTTGGAACATTTAAAGTAGATATTAATTACTAAATGCTGACAATATATGAAGGCAAAAGACATTATGAATTCTGTGATTGGTGTAGGGATACTGCAAGTGTATATATACATAATTTTATTACACAAGTTTGATATTCAGTGCTATGATCATGTGAATGTATATTTTGGATGTTTCCTTCCAAGGGGGGGGGTTTTTTTATTTTTAAATGTGTTTCAACATTTCTCAAGAAAATAGACATGAAGAAAATGATAACTGGCCTTGTGCTTACCCTATACCTAGTTTGGTTGAGACTAACTGGCCTTGTTTATAGGAAAGTTGTTATCAATATTTTGTAATTGCAGGTATGAAAATAAAAAATAACATGTATATCACTTGGAGCACAAGAAATTAATCAATTAATGATGGGATATCACTACAGTCATTCTCACATTCCTCATGTACATAAGGCCAATAATCAGTCAGACTAAGGTTCCCTGACAATACAATGATGCAACTAAACTTATTGTCCAAAATCCTCATAAAGTAATATTCATATGAAAGATTAGAGTATTTTACATTTATTGAACCATCAATCAAGCTACATGTGGGAAAATAATTACACCATTTTTGTATAGTTGTAACTTTTTGCAGAGAATATTCCATTGAAAGCTTTAATTGAGCAGTTTTATTTTATTTTTAAAAAAACAGTAACACAAATTCGTGATTACACTTAAAATTAATATTAAAACCTGGATATCTGCACTACTGATACTAGCAAACATAAATAAGTAAGTGTTATCAGAGCAATGTTAGAAATCACTGGTTCAAGCACTAGTTTAAAAGTAGATAAACCTGTTTTTAGCTGTTAAATACATAAAAAAAATGTGATATGATAAATACAGAGATAAAGACACATTGTATAAAGGAAATTAGAATTGTGCAAAAATATGGGTTTACAAATTTCTTGCAAAAATCCCTCATATAGTAATAAATTGTGTGAATTTAACATCTCTATTTTTTGTAAATAAATAAAATTCAATGTCATTATAACAGTAGTGACTTGTTCTTCCTTATTATCCATAGTAATATGAATTATGAATTTTTATTTTTGGGAAGCGTGGGAATTAAAATTACAAGGCCCAAATTCCTCCTTGTACCTTCGATCGTCTGCACGTGACTCGCTATGGTTTTCAAGTTTTTTTTTCATGTTAAAGAAAAATCTAGTGATGTTAGCCGGCTAAAAAAAATTTCTCTTGGCATTCATTTTTACGTCTGGAATTTTAGTGCAGAATTCAATGGTATAGACATTTAGTTGAGATGGGTCCACCTACATTACTTTGAATGACAAAAAAAAACATACATTTACTCAAAAAGCCAAATACAATGCATCAAAGCCATGAAAAACCACTGTGACACAAATTTACTTGGGTTTTAAGTGCACCAAGACTCGGCCAATTTTTAGTTTTAGCCGATAGGATTTAAAGCTTGAGTCATGAACAATAAAACTTATCGGTTAGCTTTTTTAAAAAATTTTTGTTTTATTATTTTGAAGCTGACCAATTGTTACTACAAGCAATAATTAATTAAGATACTCAAACAAGCAATAAATTAGAAATTATATTTATTTATTATCCAAAATTTATGATCTATGATATAATTAATACAAGAAAAAACTAACAATATAATAAATAAAATAGTCATCTATATCATTCCGTATTGGTAAATTTTGTGCGATAAACTTTACCAGTATTTTCATTCCTTGCAGTTGCAACAGTAGCTTCCATAGATGCGAAACGTAATGTTAGTAGAACAGAACGATTCAGCCCTAAATTAGCATCGGGCAATTCAACAGTGAAACTGCCCAATTTTTTCATCTCAGGTTCATCGCAATAAGATGCATCGTATTTGGAGGTATAAAAAAAGTTAAAAATTATTGAGGTTTGGTGAGGATAAACAGGAATCATGCTCTTGGAAAATTCTTCATCCACATCCACCTCTGTCCCCTTTCTGGCCATCTTCAAAAACTTATATATCCGATCATCTGACGTTTTACGAGATAGTGGATCACCAGTTTGCTAATATTAAAAAAATATATAGTTATTTGGGATAATATAATAATGATATTTTGTTGATGATGCTTACCCATTTAGGATAAACTCGAACTCCATACGTCCATTTTAGTACTCTTGTAGTCACAGTCTTCATATCAAGTCCATATTCACATGCACCTCTTACAATTGCAGCAGCCGGACTAGTTGGAACTGTAATAAATAAAATATATGTTGAATAATTGCTTTAATTTTTCTTTTAAAAAAAAGTGATGGTCAGCCAACCAACATACTTGCTACTTTCAATTGTTTTTCAAATCTCTGTCTAATCCTAGCTTGAAGATATTTTGATTCACTGAATCCTCCAACCAAAAACATCACCGAACAGTCTGGACATTTTGAAAGTTGTATCTCAATCAACCTCAAAATCTTGTTGATTACTGGGTCAAAAAATGATTTCACGGTGTCAAAATCAAAATCAATGATCCATTCATCCTCATCCGACAATTGTTCTCTTTCTGACCCAGTGACATATTGCATAATTGCAGGACATTTTCTCTGAATGTCCAATTCAATATCTTTGAATTTGGATTTTTCACCAGTGAATGGAATTTTAATTACGGGACAAAAATATTTATGTATTAAATAATTAACCTGACCATAATGTTTTTCCTTTAACATGTTCATTGCAGATTTGCCTACTCTACTTTCAAGAAATTTTAAAAACTCATCATCAACATAGGTTCCTCCACAAAAATCTCCTGAACGTTCAGTTGTTTCTGCTATTCGATCATCTGATAATAACTTTCTAACTGTTAAGTCCACAGTTCCTCCACCACAATCAACAACCAAGTATTTTGCTAAGTTAAATCATACGGTAACAATGTTATTTAAAGTTATAGGGTGAGCAAAGTGAGCCCAAAAATTTATTATTTAATATGTACCTCCAGTTTTTAAATTCAATTCATTCAACTTATTCATACAATGAATTGCAGCAGCCTCCGCTAAAATTTAGGTCAAAGTATATTAGACAAATATCATCCGATAACGTTACGTTTAGTATTTAAAATGCTTTCTTACGTTCAGTGGTAAATTGAAGACTTAGTGTGCCAATAGATTTGATCAAGTTGGCATCGTATGCACATTTTCTCATAATTGTCTTGGACTTTTCATTGAATTCTAAAATGATAGTTTTTAAAGTAGTTTGTATATTTTTTGTGTGTGTGTATATATATATATATATATATATATATATACATACACATTCATATATGCATTTATAAATAAGATAAATAGTTACCAGCAGGTACTGTAAAAACCAATCGCACATGACTGTAAAAGTCAATTCCAGACCAATGAAGTTTTATTCTATCTTTTATCGTCTGTCGTATCACAAAAAGTTAAATTAACACTAACGTATAAACAGGAAATACAGTCGAATCACCATGCCACGGGACAACACGCCAAAATTACTAATTTCGTTCATCATATATATTTTTATATGTAAAGTAAAAAATTTTATGACGTAAATAGTCCGCTGTGGCAAGGTTTGACTGTACAATTTATTTTTAACTTATCACCATACCTTTCCTAATAATTCGTGTGATTAATTTTGAATAAATTTTCTGATGCAATAGTCATTAAATGATATGTAATTAATCATTAAATAAAAACATGGCTAATTACCTATTTCGCGAAGATAATCAGTTATAACTTTCTGAAAGGTAATTCCAGGCGGTAATTTTGGTTTTTTGCTTTCCGGGACATCTCCTAAATGAAGTTTGAAATATTCCAACGGTCTTGGTAAAGGTTTATTACTATGATTTTTTCTTCGGCTAGGCTCGGAACTTAACGCATCGGCTCCCCAAGATACGATATCCTTATAGTCTTCGTCGTATTGTAATACTGTATTGGTTTTATCAAGACTTTTGTAATTTCCCCACTCTTCATTTACTACAACCTCTATTTTCGCCTTGTCTGGTTTAATGTAAGCGTAAGCGAAACCCTGATAAAAAAATAAAGAGACGAGGCGTCAGTTAACTGAAAGATAAGAAAAAAAATAGTGCGTAGCGATTAAAAAGAAGTTTACCGAAAATGTTGTGCCGAAATCTGAGATTTAAGGAGTCATGTAAAAAAAGACGATGCTTATTAGAAAAACAAGTTTCTGTAAGAGACATTTTTTGTGGGTTATATACTTACCCACTCCAACAACTACACGTAAATCCTCTATTCTGGCAGGTTCATATTCGATTGCATGAGAATCCATGATGAAATGTAAATTTTTTTATAAGAATTTATTATTTGTGATGTTTGAATTGACACGTATATTTATATACCCACACGTTATTTTATTTGTATTATTGTGAGACATTTGATTTCTTCAAACAAAGAAAACAAATAATTGCATTGCGTGTTTTTTTCCAAACCAATTGTAAATATTATGACCAAAATCAATCAATCACAAAACAAAACCATTCAATGTATAAGCGTTAAAAAAAAAGGTTTGTACAATAGTTTGTACAATAGTTTGTACTAGCGTGATAACTTCGAAAGTTCATGCATGTTATTTACCAAATAAAAATTTTACCACGAATGGATGTTCAACATAATTTCAAATTTTATTGGTGTTTAATAAATAAATATTCAGTTTAATTTGATAAAAATGAAAAATATGAAAAATGAATCACAAATAATAATAAAGAAAGGAAAGAAAAGACTAATTAAAGGTCGATCAAATCGATTGATGATTTTTTAATAGTCGTAATTTGCGCAGGAAAGATTACTTTCAAATCTTTGTCAGATATGTCAGCTTCACAAAGGTTAGATCCAATTATTGGGAATTCACAAACATTAACACAATAGTCTTCAATCTCATTTTCGTCTAAAGGTGATTCCATCATTTTAGTATTGATACTTGTGTTAATTGTAAAAAATTTATATTCGGCAACAGGTTCTTGCACTTTTAATCTGAAAAGAAATATACTAATAACTTGTCTAATAATCAGATCAATCAATTTTTTAATTTCTGATAATTTTTCTGGGTTTTTAATTGTACGATAATCATCCATTGATTTTAAAATATTTTTCTGTAATCCCACAATCAACGGATGCCTTTTACCTCCATCTGCAACCATATTGGAAAACCCACGATTCCCAAGAACACCATAAATTTGTTGACGTAATTTTGTTGAAGTAGCTTTGGTAACTTCATCAGTCCCAGCGCGATATGTTGGAATCGAATTTGTCAATTCCAACAGTTGCTCTGTCGTATTAACTATTTTTGCTTCCAAGCTTTGTTGTCGATTTTCGTCATCTTGTTTGGCATTTTTTTCATTGACTTTTTTAAGGTAATTTTGAGTTTTTTCAATGATCATTTCAATTACGTGACGTTCCAACGCGCCAGAGATCAAAATTTTGTCGGTAGTGCTTATCTTATTACTTACGGTGAGCGAACAACCAAATTTTCTCAAGAGTTCTTTTACCGTCGATATATTAACATCAGCATCTGCCTTTCTCAGTCCACAAAATTTTACTAAATTGTCGTGTAAATCACGAATATCTTTTGATAATTGTCCAGCGCTGTTGGGGTCTTGACTTCCTAGATGAACACTTGTTGCATCGCCCAAAGCTGATTGATATTTGATAGCCTCTTTCTTTAATTTTTCATTGGCTTCTTTCAAATAATCAATTTCTTTATCTTTTAAATTTAATAATTTCTCTAATCTATCGTTATTTGCCTTAGCTCCTTGACATTCGCTTTCGAGAGTATTACATTGTGATTGAAGTACTTTGAGCTTATTATCATGATTTTTATTATTTGAAAACCACTGGTTTGTCTGCTTATCTTTATTATTTTTATTTTGGGTCTTTTCCGATTCATTGCATTTGATTTTCATTTTATTGTATTTTTCTTCCATTTTATTGTATTTTTCTTCCATTTTATTGTATTCTTTCATTTCATCGTTTTTTTCTTTTAATTCTTTTTCCAAGTTTTTATTTTCTCTCTTCAAATCTTCGATAGCACTTTTCAAATCTTCGTTACTTTCCATAACCTTGAGTATTTTGTCCATTTCAACATCTTTAATTTCCAATTGTCTTTTTAATTCAATATTACTTTCTTTCAATTTAATGATTTCGTATTGATGACGATTTTCTTCCTCATTAATAATTGTCCCTCTAGTTTCTTCTCCACCTTCCAAGCGTTTTTGAACGGTTAAATTACGTTCGTCAAAAGCATATTTAACAATTATTATATAGTCTCCCCAAAAAAATTGTTCTATTGGATTTGTGATTCGTCCTCGCAAGAGTTCCGCTATTTCCTGTAATGTGAATTTTTGTGGATAATCTTCTAAAGACCGCAGTTGTTCTATGGGTTGTTGGTGATATGGTGAGAGTTGTTGCGGCTGTTGTATAGGTTGTAACGATAGTTCTTTCTCTTGTTTCTGTTGTAAGTAAATTTGATCTAATTCTGAGAGTTGTGGTGGTATTTGTTCTCGTAAATGTTGTAGCAGCTGTTGTGAGATTGCTTGCAATTGTTGTAAGTAATTTTCCAGTTGTTGTAAGGGACGTTTCATTCCTTGTTGTAAGTATTGTAGCAGTGGCCGTGAGATACTTTGCAGTTGTTGTAAGAGTTGTTGTAAAGGATATTGTTGCAAGTAAGATATCAGTGGTTGTAAGATTCCTTGTAGTTGTTGTAAGGGATGTAGCAGTTGATTTAAGTAATCCTTCACTTGTTGTTGTAAGGGATGTATTTGATTTAAGTTATATAGCAGCTGATCTAAGGTATCTAAGAGGAGTTGTATGGTTCCTTGCCAATTATCTGTGGACGTGTATTGCGTGTTTTGGCCGGAATTATTAAAATTTGGATTGTGGTCATCGTAGTTATTATTGTCATAGGAACCAGGAATGTTACATTCGTTGTATCCCATTTCAAATGAAAAGAAACAGACTTCAAAGAATACAAGAAAACAAATTATCGAGATATTTATATATTAAATATATATGGCGCTACAAACCAACGTATATATTTGTGATTATTGAAAATATAAACAAAAATTGTTTAAACATCACCAAAAGAAATCGTAATGTTCAACAAAATGTTGTCGTTTAATATGTTTAATAGTACGAAGTTTATTGATTAGTCTATTTCAGGAAGCCCATGGTTTTAATTGGTTTAAAAATGCTAGACGAAAGGGATCGAAAAGTCCATTTATTCCGTGTAATTTTAAATCACTTCTGAATTCAATAAATCAAATAAATATTTGTTGCAACTGAATAAATACTTGCATTAATGTTGTTAATTGATGATGACCATTTAGAAAGTAAAATTGAATCCAGCGGAAATTACACTAGCAATACTCTACCAATATTTAAGAAAACATTAGTTAAAGGGACCGACCACATTTTACCAACTACTAGATCACTGTCAAAACTATGTCCCATGAATACTAAGCCTTTCCAAAAGAGTATAGCAAAAACGATACGATATACAATATTAATAAAATTTTATTCGGAAAATTCTACGGAACTATTATTTGAATTTGGACAATGACATCCATATATAGATATATAATAATAAGGTGTATTAATTATTATTTTTTTTATAGAGCCAATTATCTTAATGACAACATGTCACAATTATAGTGAATGGAGATAATTTGACTGCAGAAATTTTGGATGAATTGAATAATGATAACGGACGGATCAGATATCTTGACTTTAGAAAGTTCATATGATTTGACAATTCAGGTTTCAGATGATGATGATTGAGAAAAACCAAACAAAAAAATAAAAACTAGTAAATTAAGTACGAGGAAAAACAAGTATTTAGAAACCATATCGCATTCTATGTAATATTCGGATGAACCATCACCATCAAAGTGAAGAAATTTGCATTGCGGAACCACCAGAAGTATAAGCTATATTAAAAGATCAAATAAAGTACATTTTAAAAGGTCAGGTTGAATGTTAAAATATGAATGGCCAAAAGACAAGGAATATTTAATATTTATATGGTGAATCAAAATTAGTTTCAATTTATGGAAAAATCGTTCAACGAATTATTCTTTGGGTTTGAGAAGAATGAGAAGGATGATTTGGTCAAATCAAAATTTAGTTATACATGATTTACTTCCTTCGATCCAATTAGCAAACAGAATATCGTCAAAGTTAATAATGGTTGGTTTATAATGTGTTTAATCATGATTTTAATGATGTTCTCTGTAAATTCCTTCGTAGAAGAAACGGAATAAATAAAGGTAACTAATACTTGAGAAAATTGTCAAAATTCAAAATCCTTTTTTTTAAATTTATCTTCTGGAACATTCAAAAGAAATTTTCTTTTTTTCGAACTCTATTTCCAGCCCTGGTGTTAATTAGCTAGCAGGGTACGGAATTATTTCCCACTCCGCAGAGAATTAAAAGCCTAGCTTAATCGTGAGACAACCTGGTCAAGCTGAAAATTTTGTTCCTTTGAATCGTGACACCAGTTTCTTGAATATGCAAATAAATTTATCTTGTGTTGCGAGAGGCATTGATGTTACGACTCCAATACAGCTAAAAAAAAATTAGTGTGTGAGAAATAAAGTTTACAAATCATTACCAAATCCAATAAAAAGTTTAACGTATCATATTGTTGATGATGTTTACCTGTCATTTGTTTTTCAAATTTGGGTTGACCAGAATTATTGTCTTCTATCAAATTTTCTCTATAACATAAAGAACAAATTTGACCGAGTTATCAGCTGTACACGACACCTTTTTTTTAATTCACAAAAAAGTTGTTTGATAGGACCTTGTGGGTGGTCTTTAAGTCCAAATGTGACAATCGTGTGATTCGCTTACAAACCACATTTCGAGCTTGTCGCTTTTTCATATAGGCATGCCATTAAAGTCTCTTCTCTAACATTGTTTATTATGAAAATTAAGGATTATTTTCGTTCTTATACCTTTTCTTCCCTGCTTCATTAAAGCCCGTAATTGTGCAATTTAAGGCTCCGAATAAATCAATGAAACTCGAACTGATTCGAAACGAACATGAATCAAGTCACCTGATTTTTGATTTCTTGTCAAAGGAAATAAGACCTTATTTATAATTTTACAAATAGTTAAAATCCCTCAACAATAACAACAATGATCATATAGAATTAGTTTCATCAAGCTGTGACTTAATATCTTCTTACATTTTATAAAACAAATAATTCAAATAAAATGAAATAATAATAATTTGAATTAAGATTAAGTTATATCAGTATCAGTATTAGTATTACGGATAATTCGAATAAGAACTTTTATTGTATTATTATTATGAATGGAAACGGATTCCCAAAATTTTTATCGTAATCGGACATTCTAAATTTTACCGTAATGCTCGGAATTTCATAACAGTAATAGGATTTCGCTCCCTGACGAGTTGTTACATCAACCTCAGTCCATAATCAAACATATTTACCTTAAAAATAACTTTAAACATTTGCTTATTTATTTTGTTTTTTTAGCAGATTTAAATAGATCAAAATCCAAAATGTATCAATTTTACAAAAACCGCATATAATTAATACACAAATAACTTGTATCCTAGATCTTGTAGATTATGCAACTATTTTCTTCAGTCGTTTTTTTAGAAATAACGATAATTCTCTTTGTTTATCCATTTTAGGATGATTTCAATGATATATATCTTATTTGTTGGTATAAATAAAAATATTTCATTATATGTATCACACAGCATGTACTATATAGTATTAGTATGCTTTGTACTATTCCCGCATTTTTTAGATATATAAGTTTGGGTAGTCTGCTGGTATAAACAGCATAGTGTGATTACATATATAATATTAATATAAATAAATTCAAGTGCACATTACACAGTCAAACCTTGTCACAGCGAATGAACGGAACACATAAAGAAAATTTTATTTAAAATCCGTTGTGGAAAGATTACTAATTTTGCCACAACGGATTTTTATACGTGAAGCAAAATTTTAAAAATCTGTTATGACACTTGTGGAATTTTGATGTGGATATGTGTTTTCATATCCTGGTTTTGGACTCCATTATATTACAAACGTGATTACTGTGAACGCTTGTTCACAATTGACTATAAGTAGCATTTCTTCCTGGTAGAGACCCCAGATTTATGCAGCAACGAAACATCAAATTATGCATGCAACACTTGGTAGATTATGCAAATTATTAGGGTTGTTAATGATCCGGTCCAAAGACTGTCAGTCTAATCAAAGGACCGGACCGAGACCGCAGACCAGATCGTGGTCCATACTTAGGGTTTCTATCCGAATGAAATAAATAAACGAATGAAACGAATGACTCGAATAAAACGAATAAATGAATAAAATGAATCAAGTAATTCGAATAAAACAGATAAAACAGATAAAACAAATGATTTGAATAGAACAAATAATAAAACGAATATTTAGAATAAAATAAATGATTTGAATAGAACAAATGATCCGAATAGAACAAATGAATTCGAATAGAATAGATAAAAAAATAATAATTAGAATAAAACGAATATTTTGAAGAATTTGCATCGGAAGGAATAGTAATTCATAGAAACAATGAATGAATTTTGATTTATATAAAACTGTATACACTCTTTTTTTTTCTGAATATATTAATGATTTGGAATTGAATTATGATAATTAAATAATATTTTTAACAAATGAATGAAATAAATATTTTTATTATAAAAAAATTCAACGGTCCAAATGATCTTTGATACCTAAGACTAGACTGACTCGGTACACGGTCCGGACCGTTAACATCCCTACTTGTACCCACTTTAATTGATGAGACCGGTTAGAGTATAGTGCAGGACATCTAAAGACATCAAAAAAATTGTGCAACTTCAAATCGCCAAGGCTTTTTTTTTATTAAAAAAACTTTCTATTTTACAATCTCTAGAACCTAAGAAACAAGGAAATAGAGGGTATTTTCAATTTTACTAATAAAAAAAAGGCCTTAGTGGTTTGAAGTTGGACGATTTTACTATATAATTATAAATTTGGTTACATATTTTTTATATTCTCTAGCCATTATACATGGAACACAAATTGACCATAATATTGCAAGCATCTGAGTGATTGCCCATAATGCTGTAATTAGGCTGTAATGTCATAATATAAACCAAATGTAATAATCAATGTAATCCTAAAAGATATTTGAAAAAAATGTTATACAACTTCCAAAATATATATGGCCGAGTTTGAATTAACTTTTGAGCTATGCTTGTTGATTAATCGCAAGCTTTTATATTCAATTCTCATCAATTAACTCGTTTTACGAATTTGCAGCCTCTTTCTCGTACCTAGAAAGCTTCAACAAATCTGTAAGAACGCTTTTATGGTAGAATTAACAACAAATAAAACATAGCTTTATTATAAAGCAACGAATTCTTTTAGTGAAGTTCCTTGTTATTTACTTTTCTTTGGCTGGTTAAATTCAGCAGTAAGTTTGCAAAATACTTCAACACAATACAACAAAGTGATATGTGATAACGACTTTGGTTAATAATGTCAACTTTATATCTGGCCTAACAATCTTAATGCTCTATGTTTACACAAAACAAATTCTTTTACAAAAAACAAAAATGCTTACACTTAACAAAAACCAAAAATTAAACCTTTACTTTCTACTAAAGCAAATAACAAAACTGAGTTACAAAAACTCAGAGTTCAATTTAGAATTTCTATTCAAATATTCAAATTACATTGAAAGTTTACTCGAATAAAATGAATAATTCAAATAAGTATTTGTATTCCATACCACTCTGATAACCAAATAAGGGATTAAACCCTACTGTTTAATTTCCGACTAAAAGTGTTTTTATTAAACAAAAGAATTAATTTATAAAAATGTTTGTTACAGAAATGAATTAATTGACAATTTTCTGCATCTAGTCTTATGAGCAAGACTCTGAAATAGTAGATAATAGTCATTAGTAATTCTCCGTTTGGTCAAAAGCTATGATAATTTTTGTTAATCTTTAAAAATTAACATTTTTTTTTAACAATTTTATCGAAATGCCGGCTAAGAACTTGAATAAATCCCAGTTGAAGAAAAAACTTTTCAAATGGCACTAAGCTTGCCGGTGTTATTAATATAATATCTCGCTCTAATGGTTTGAATAAAGTTTATTTGAGTTATTTGTTTTATTCATTATGGATTGAGTATTGAATAAACGAGTACAACGAATAAAACAAATAATTCGAATATATAGGACAAATAATTCAAATAGAATGAATAGTTTGGATAAAACGAATAATAATAATTCGAATTAAAATAAGAAGTTGTATTACGAATAGAAACTCTATGACTTTTATCCTGCTATGATGTATTGTATTATGTTGTTTGAGCAAATGTATGTTTTTTCCTCATTCTAAGTAATGCAGGTGAACACATCTCAATTAAATGTCTATACCACTGAATTCTACACTAAAATTCCAGATGTAAAAATGAATGTCGAGAGAAAATTTTTTTTAGCCGGCTAAGCCGTTTAAAAATTTCTTAGCTGGTTAGCATTAGTAATTGACTTACCGTCTCAGCATGTAAATTCCGCATCTACTTCATACGCAAAAAAAAGTGTACTATGAAATGAGTTATTTTGATAGGTACTTCAATGTTGCACAAATTTTTTGCAAGTATACATATATAAAATTGATCAGCCGAAAAAAATTTTTTTCTCTTTAACCAAATGGTTCGGTGTACATTTACTTTATTGTAAGTGTGCCAATTGACAATAGGAAGCATTAAATTAATTAATATATTCAAATAGATTTTTCTATTACCGTATTATATTAATAAATAATGTAAAGTTCCAGTCAACGAACCAAATACTAAATCTTTTTTCATAAAGTTACTTTGAGTTTATTTTTTTTAAAGTAGATTTGGTAATTTTAGGGAATTAGAACACCATATATTCCATTATCGTTCCTGAATTGTCACTATGTGGCATTGATGGTTGGGATAAACCATATGGCGAACATATTTTATTTGAGTTGTTATAATTATTATGTAAAAAAAAATTTTTTATTTTTTTATTATAAAAAATGTTTTTAATAAATTCTTAATTTTAAGTAAGAGAAAATAAAATACATTCTATATATCTAATAATGTTTTCAGAAAGAGAGAATTGAAAGTATATGGTATATAAATCTATGTGTGTATTCATCATATATTCTTTTATCCATCCATCCGTCCATCCATACATTGTTTATTCAATGAAATTTTAAAGTTTTTTCCTTGGTGATAATGATGAAGAGGGGTTTTTACGTAAATGAGTATAAATTTCATCAGTGTCGGTTGAATTATTATCGATAATAATATTATCCCTGTTAATCTCATTCATCGAAAAAGATTCGCTTGCCATATCATTATTATTATCATCAATGTTATTATTATTAGCAATTTTATCTTCTCCACTATTGATTCTCTTGAGATGAAATGGTAAATTTTCATTATAATTCATTTCTTTTCCATCATTAATAATAGCATCATCTTCATCATCATCTGTTGAATCAACATTTAAGAAAACCTCATCTTCGTTTCTAATTGAATCGTCATCATCATCATCATCATCATCACCACCACCACCACCACCACCATAACCATCATCCTCATCATCATCACCAACAACAAAATGATTATGACGGCGATGACGACGACGACGACGTGTTCCTCCCCTTCCCAATCTAATGCCAACACCATCAATTTCGAATTTCTTTTTAATAACTTGATCCACAAGCCAAAATTGTATAATGTTCATTATTAATGGAAATATTAACATTACAAAAACCACTTGTAATTTAACATCATACAATGTCCAACCCAGTATCCATTCTGCTATATCAAATAAAAATGGACATAATCTAAATAATGTTATTACAACTATTTTCATTAGCATTAGACAAAATATAAATGCCACCGTTTGTTTAACCCAGAATATATATTGTGGTGGTTGTCCATAATCTCCACTATTAATTCCTAGAAAAAAAAATTTCAATTAAATTTATAATTACTAAATGATGATAATAGATTTTTATTATTTTTTACCTTCTACACCATAAATAGTTAATAAACGATGTACTATTTTAAGGATTACAAATAATATAAATACTCCTATAGTACAATCTACAAATATATTAAGAAAATACCTATAGAACATCACAATTAATAAATTATAATTCTCTGAATAAAAATAATTAAATATTAAATATTAATTGGTTTACCATATACATGGATTGGTATCCTCCGTGTTGTGTGAACCTGCTATATAAGAAAAAAGAATGTTTAATCCATGAACAATGCCAGCACCTAATACTTGTTTACTAACATCATAAAACCTTTATAGTGAAAAGATTATATTTAAGTTACTATAAAATTATATATGGTTGATTACATGAATGATAATAATGATGACAATAATGATACCATATTAGCAAAGGCCTTTGTGGTCGTTCTCTATGTCTTTTATAAATAAGTGTTGAACAAGCAATTGCACCCAACAGTACTTGAACAACTATTGCAAAGTGATCAACTAATGCACAATTTTGAAGTTTTTTTGGTGCCATAATTGTTTATTTTTTTTGTAATAAAAAAAAATAACAAATTATATAATTTATATATATTATATAATAAAATTTCTTTTCTTTCACTCTGAATAAGTATCACCATAAACGTTACTTCTTCTTAAAATAATAAAAAATACAATTGTTTGCATATATGAAAAATAAGCAATTTAAAATTTGTTAATTCTCTTTCTATATATGGAATCAAGATTCGGTTTATCACGTGGTAAAGTTTTTTGGATCTCGAAATAAAAAAATGAATAACCAAAATCCGCAAGGTCCACCATTACTATCCGGCCCTTTAAGTTCTGCCACACCAAGAGCAAGTGATAATGCGCCTAAAATGTTATACAATTGTGCAGGTATGGATTATTTCTATAAGCTAAGGAAAATTGTTGATTTGTTTCCCCGAGTAATTTTTTCTTCTTAAATAATAATTATAATAGATTGTGGGTCAGAGAATGAAATTAAACCAAAAGAACCCTTACGTTGCAAAGAATGTGGCCATAGAATTATGTATAAACAACGAACTAAAAGAAGTTAGTAGAATTATATATTATATTTATATACATTACATAGTTTTTAACTTGTAATTTTAATCATTTATTTTATAAAGTGGTGCAATTTGAAGCTCGCTAAATTGAGAGGATTTTGAAGGATATATTATTTTTTATTGTTTTAAAAAAAAAACTATGAATATGTTATTTTTAATAATAATGAGCAATTAAAAAAATTTAATGCTTTAAAAATTTCTGTTATTTTTGTAATAATTAATTAATCCATTAGTACTTGAATCATGAGAAGAAACAACCGACTTGTTATCTTTTCCTAATTCAGGTAATATCTTTTTAGCAAGAACTTTACCAAGTTCAACGCCCCACTGATCAAAAGAATTGATATTCCAAATGATTCCTTGTACAAAAATCTTATGTTCATATAATGCAATAAGAGCACCTAGAGTGGCAGGAGTCAATTTTTGAAAAATTATAGAATTTGTTGGCCGATTACCAATAAAAACTTTATGAGGTGCAATCAAATCTTTATTCTTGAAACCTTCACCAAGTTCTGTCAAGACTTGTTCTTTGCTTTTACCAATCATTAAAGCTTCTGTCTGTGCAAAAAAATTTGATAATAAAATTTCATGATGTAGGCCATTGGAGATTGGATTGTGTGTTTCAATTGGTGCCAGGAAATCTGCTGGAACTATTTTTGTTCCTTGATGGATCAATTGATAGAATGCATGTTGTCCGTTAGTACCTGGTTCACCCCAGATTATTGGGCCTGTGGAATATCCTACTTCTTTTCCCGATCTTGACACATATTTTCCATTAGATTCCATATCTCCCTATCAATTAAAATAAATAATTAAAGTCTTACTAATTATAAATTATTAATTGATTTGCTATCAGAGTTACTAGTTACCTGTTGGAAATAAGCAGGAAATCTGTGAAGATATTGATCATATGGTAAAATGGCATGAGTTTGAGCACCAAAGAAATTATTATACCATATACCAAGGACACCCAAAATCACTGGCAAATTGTTTTCTAATGGAGTATTCTTAAAATGATTATCCATATCATGAGCACCAGTTAAAAGTTGATGGAAATTATCAAATCCAATGTAAATTGCAATTGAGAGACCAATTGCTATATATATATATATATAATATAAAAAATCATATTAATTAGTTTATTAATCAATTAATTGTTATTATACTTTGTATGATGATTATGATTATGATTATAATGATACACACCAGACCATAAAGAATATCTTCCACCAACCCAATCCCAAAACTTAAACATATTTGCAGGATCGATTCCAAATTTGGTAACTTCTTTTGTATTTGTTGACAAAGCTACAAAATGTTTAGCAACATATTTATCCTGTATATACAAAAAAATTTTATATATTAATATTAATATGCAACAATTATTTTTTTTTAAAATATAAGAAAAAATGTATGAATGATCAAAATCAAATTAGTAATTAACCTCTTTTGCAGTATTCAAAAACCAATTCCTAGCTGATGTGGCATTAGTGATAGTTTCTTGTGTAGTAAAAGTTTTTGATGCAATGATAAAAAGTGTAGTTTCTGGATTCAACTTTTTCAAAGTTTCTGCCAAATGAGTACCATCAATGTTTGATACAAAATGTACACTCAGACCAGCTTTAGCATATGGTTTCAACGCTTCAGTCACCATCACTGGTCCTAAATCTGATCCGCCAATCCCAATATTAACAATATCTACTATTGCTTTTCCCGTATAACCTGTCCAAACTCCATCACGGATCTCAGTTGAAGTTTTTTTCATTTGTTCCAATACTTCATTAACAGCTGGGACAATATTTTCACCATTATCATCTTTAATGGGATTATTTGAAACATTTCTTAATGCAATATGTAAAACAGCTCGATCTTCGGTAAAATTGATATGTTCACCATTAAACATCTTATTTCTAAACACATCAACATCAGCTTCACGCGCAAGGTCAATCAATAATTTAAAAGTTTCATCGGTGATTCGATTTTTTGAAAAATCAAGTAAAATGGTGGAAGGAGATTCATTTTTATTGTCGTTGTTGTTACCTCTGAATTGATATGAGAAAGTATTGAATCGATTATTATCATTGGCAAACAATTCTTTCATTACCAATTCTTTACCAATTGTATCATAATGATTTTGAAGTTTTTTCCAAGCATTAAGTTCATTAGCTAATACCATCTTTAATATTTCTTTTTAATTAATTGATTGATAATAAATAATGTTTATGTTATTTTTTTATTTTTTCATTTTTTGGAGAAAAAATTTAGATCCTATAAATGCTGTTTTTTAAAAAACGTGGGAGAAAAAAATCTCAATTAGTATTAGATTGATTGATTCATACAAGTGATAAGATAGATAGATAAATTGATTTTTTCTATTGTATACCAAGCTTAAGATTTTTCTTTCCATCAAAATTTTCAATAATAGGTCACTCATTAAAATTTATCGGAATGGAAAACGGGATAGAATTATATATTGGCAAAAACTTGGATCAGACGGCACTTTTATCTCCAACTGCACTAGGCCCTTTAAGACGTTTTATTCAAGTTCTCAAGT